CTGCGGGGAACTCTGCAAAAAACGCATCTTCGCACGGGCAGCCCGTGCGTTGGCCAATTTTTAATGGGTTGTGTGATGATGTATAAAAAAGAGAACTTAAGCAAACCTGTCCATATCAAAGTGGATTTTTTGATTTGTTTGTGAAGGTCTGCGATATAAACTGTAAATTTTTCCAGGCAAACGCAAATCCCAGCAAATAATGTCATCATCCTGCAACACCTTTTTTTGTGAATAAACTGCACACAGCGATAGTCCCGGGGAAATGCATTTGCAGAAGCGATGCGCACATCACCTTTCTTCCGGCTGTGAGCAGGAAAGTGCCATCGGGTGTGTAGCAAAGCGAAGTTATGGCGTGTCGGCATTCAAACAGACATTCCACGCCCGGCGAATAATCCGAATAAAATGCAACTGTAATAACTGGATTTTTATTGCGCAACAACAAAACGCATGATCTTAAATTACTCGCAGCCCAATTTTTCCCATTTTTCTTTTAACGCGCTATCAGATTGTCTCTTAAAAATAATAGCTCCACGTTTGTATTTAAGCTGATGCTATGCACAAGTGTACATTTTGTAATAATTTTTATACACACATTCCAACTTCTACCCAACGACTCATTACAGTAACTAGTCCCCCATTCCCTCTTATCTCGTACATCTCATCTCTCATTTATTACGCCTCAAGTCTTATTTGAAAAAAAAAAATAATTGGCCAACGCACGGGCTGCCCGTGCGAAGGTGCGTTTTTTGCAAAGTTCCTCGCACTTTTTGTCGCTACCGGCATCGGTTTTTTCGGCAGATGCTTCTAGCTGAAAGAATTTCAGACTGGCCACCAGAACCGTCAGGAAACATCTCCTCAAAATTCCAGTCTTCCAGCTTCTCACGTTCTCGAGTAAGTAACTTACTCGGAAGGAACTTTTCACGGGCATGTACGTAGGTACCACGCTTACCTGCGGGCAGGGTTTGAACTCGTTAATACCCACTTAGATAGGGAACACTACCCTAAGATTTCAGCTCTCTGGCTTCTCAGAACCCCGAGTTATGAATTTACGCGGGAAAAATTTTGGGGGGCTCGTAGGCGGATACCACGCTTACCCGGGGCTGGATTTGAGCTCATTAGCACCTGCTTGGAAGGGGAACATTCCCATAAAATTTCAGCTCTCTAGCTTTTCTGGTTCGCGAGTTAACAGCTTACCCGTACTTTGGCGGGGTTTTACGCGGGTACCACGCGGGAAAGACCGCCCATTTTGCAAAATAGGGGCCCGTAGGTGCATGTAGATTAAGTCCCCAAAGTTTCAGCCTCGTAGCTTTTGTCGGTCTCGAGATGAAAAATCGGTACAGAGGCCCAGCGCACACACAGACA